CACTATGAGTCAGAAGGGACTCTACAGCACTTAATAACAACAACAGTTGTGTGAGCCATTTCCTTGACATAACCCTCTCTTTACATATACATATATAAGCTTCACTGGTTTTGCTTCTCTGAGAACCTAGTCTAAAACAATAGCATTGCAAGGGCTGAAAATTCTAGAACACTTCATTGTACTTTGACAAAACCTGTGTATAGACCAAGAGGCCATTGTTTGAACAGAACAAGGGGATACTGCCTGGTTTAAAATCAGGAAAGGTGTGCATTAGGGTTCTATCCTTTCATCATACTTACTCAGTTTTTATGCTGAGCAATAATCAGAGAAATTGCATTATGTGAAACCTCAGGATTGGAGGAAGATCCATATTAACAACCTGTGATATGGTGATGACTACAGCCATTGGTAAGGATTATACCTCAACACGAAGAAAATGAAAATCTAAACAACTGAACCAGCAAGTAACATCTGGAATTTCTGCTGAAACAAGACTGAGAGGAAATAGCATACATTGACAGAGAACTTCCAGAGAGGTTCAAGCTGGATTCAGAAGAGGCTGTGGAATGAGAGATATCATTGCTGATGTCTGCTGGATCTTGACTGAAAGCAGAGAATATCAGAAAGATGTTTACCTATGCTTTATTGACTACGCAAAGGCTTTCCATTGTGTGGATCATGACAAGCTATGGACAACATTGTGAAGTATGAGTATTCCAGAACACTTAATTGTACTCATGAGGAATCTGTACCTGGACCAAGAAGCAGTTGTTTGAACAGAGCATGGAAACACTGAATGTTTTAAAATTAAGAAAGGTGTGCAACAAGGTTGTATTCTTTCACCATACTTATTCAACCTATATGCTGAGCAAATAATACGAGAAGCTGGGTTCTATGAAAAAAAATGTGGCATTAGGATTGGAGGAAGACTCATTAACAACCTGTGATGTGAGGATGATAAAGCCTTGCTTGCTGAAAGTGAAAAGGACTTAAAACATTTACTGATGAAGATCAAAGAGCACAGCCTTCAGTATGGATTACATCTCAATGTCAAGAAAACAAAAATCCTCACCACTGGACCAATAAACAATCTTATCAAAGGAGAAAAGATTGAAGTTGTCAAGGACTAAATTCTTCTTGGATCAACACTCACTATCAACACTCACTGAAGCAGCAGTCAAGAGATCAAACGACGTATTGTATTAGGCAAATCTGCTGCACAAGACCTTTTTAAAGTGTTGAAGAGCACAGATGTCAGCTTGAGGACTAAGGTGTGCCTGACCCAAGCCATGGTGTTTTCAATAACCACATATGGATGTGAAAGCTGGACAGTGAATAAGGAAGATCGTAGAAGAATTGATGCCTTTTAATTATGGAGTTGGAGGAGAATACTAAAAGTGCCATGGGCTGCCAAAAGAACCAATAGATCTGTTTTAGAAGAAGTGCAGCCAGAGTGCTCCTTGGAGGCCAAGATGGCCAAACTTCGTCTCTCATACTTTGGACATGTTGTCAGGAGGGAACAGTCGCTAGAGAAGGACATCATGCTTGCTAAGGTGGAGGGTCAGAGAAAAAGAGGAAGACCCCCCAATGAGATGGATTGGCCAGGTGGCAGCATCGATGGACTCAGATGTGGCCCAGGATTGGACATAGTTTCGTTCTGCTGTGCATGGGGTCGCTATGAGGTGGTTGCCTACTCGATGGCACCTAACAACAACAACTATTAACTGATGATATGTGGAGGGAATTGTAATGAAGCAAAGTATATGCTTCGCTAAGTGTAAAGCTGATAATCTACACTGTAAACCTTCATTCAAGTCATAATAAAATGTTTTTTACAAAAAGAAATAATAGTTTTACATTTTCATATTTTTGTTTAACAAAAATTTATGAATTTTTAGCTGTATGTTTTTAGTGGCACTGTGTTTTAGTTCTTGTGGCACTGTGGCACTGAACCACAAGGTTGGTTTGAACCAGAAGATCTATGGTTCAAATTCACCAACTGCTCCTATGGAACCCTATACAGGTTTGCTATACAAGTTGGAACAACTCGATAGCACTTAACAATTTGAATGTGCACATTTTACATTTGTAGTACTTACGCATATTTTTTGTTTTTGTTTATGAAGACCAAGTATCAAAATCCAACTTTATTAAAGCTTTATTAATTGCTGAGATTAGATCTTTTCTACTTTTAAAACAAAATATATTATTTTAATGCATTTGGGTTTTATATTTATGCTTGCTAGCATTACTAAACTTCTCCTGACTCATGGTGTTTTTAATTTACATAATTCTGTAATATATTTCAGAAACTTTGAAAAGTTTTACATCATTAATTCCCATTTGTTGTTGTTGTTAAGTACTGGTATATACTCTTTTATGTTAAGTGCCAGTATTTTGATCCTTAAAAGCATCAGAATTCTTTAAAATTTCAATCTTAATGATATTTCATTCATTAATTTTTCAGAGAAAATTATTTTTAACTCTTTATCTCACTTATTCATATTCATTTGACATTGAAGAGCTTCCTTTTAGAAATCTAGACTCGGACTTTTTCTTCTCTTAACATGGAAATTAGAATCACTTAATATTTTTCATTGGTGTGTTCCTTTTGTGATTTATTTTCTGTAACTCTTCATCTCCTCCTCTTCTGCGTGCATAAGGGTGGGGATTCTATTAATATGTTAAAATAAACTATAAAGCCTATGTTTTTCCTAGTATTTTGACAAATGTATTCTTAAAGTAAATGGAAGAAGGGGAAAAGCTTTGTTCTTCAAGTAGAATATAGTTTGATGTTTAAATTATAAAATGTAGAGATAAAAATGTCTTTCATCTTTGTTCTAATGCTTTATGAAAATACCAAGCTTTTCTCACCAATCATGGTTTCTTTATTATTCTGTCCTTGCTAAATTAAGATGATAGTCATTTTTATATTAGATGAAAACTCTAATTCTTAACATAATTTGTCATTTTAGAATTTGGGGTAGCTTTGTTCTGATAAGATAAAACTGTCTCTAGGAAAATCCTCTGAAAGGAACTGAATGGTCGCATTTGTTGTAGCAGTTGTTTAGTTCAGCTTAAAACCCTGGACACTGGCAATACTATTATTTACCTTTGATTTAGAAAGTGTAGCTATTATACTCCAATAAATTTTAAGTTCCATTCAGTCTATTATTGTGAGTTTGAATTTGACTTTGTTAATAAATTTATGACTTAACTGTAGAATGGCATAAAACATTTAGAAAAGAAATATTTAATTGAATATGCACTTTTATTTTAAAAGGGGAGAGGTAATTTTATTCTGAAAAGTTATTTATGTTGTTTTTGGGCCATAGAAAAATTTGTAGAAATAATGAAACTAGGATTTGGAGAAATTCTGATGATGTCAGTGATACGAAATTTTAGAAAACATCTTTAGAATAGTTCATTCGTTTTGTAATTTCTACTGCTTAGTAGGAATCCTGGTGTGGCACTGTATGATCAGCACTGAAGAGTGAACCACAAGATCAGCAGTTCAAATCTACCAGCTGCTCCTTGGAAATGCTACATAGGCTCACTTGGAGTTGCAATTGACTCAATGGCACTTAACAACAGCATCTGCTGAATAAGTCTGAAGTCAAATATTATAACATTATTTGTAATCTTCATCTAAATAGTAAAGCATTTCAATGACTCTGCTTAGCACCATAAATTTCAAAGCTAAACCCATTAATAAAACTTTATGATTTTTTAAAAATGTAAATTCCAGTAAAAACAGACAATTAGTCAGAAATATTTCCTTGTACTAAAATTCTGCCATACAACTTTGCTGATGCTGAGAACAAAAAGAAAATATAATGCTTTTTTGTTTTGAATCTTATCAGGACTAATGAAAATATGATTATATCAATTACAGTATAGTTCTTCCATTTTTTCCTGTCTTTTTGTTCAATAAACTTTCTATTTTGAAATAATTTTTTATTTATGAACACTGTATTTTGAAGTGTTTGTCTTGACATTCATGGCTATGAGTTTTGAACCTCAGAATATCATAAACTCAACCAAAGAACAGAGTTCCATGCTAGAAATGCGTTTCTCTTCAAAGGCTTCATGATATTTTCCTTAATCAAGATTTTAAATGTATTGCTTTCATATACTGTTTACAGTTAATAATCAACTGTCTCAAACTAACACCAGCAGAATGCATTTTTAAACCAGAAGCAATTAAACAGAATGGCAGAGTGCCAAGGATAACATAGCAGTTAACAATTACTTCTCACAAAAATAAAAGTAAAGCATGAATAAAAAAGAAATTTATGAATTGCTCCTTATATTCATGTTTATAATATAAGGGAGCTACAAAAAGATTGTGAAAAAGTTGTATATAAAGATAACAAAATATTTTTCCATGAGCTTTTTGAAGTTCCGGCATATAATATCGTATATATATGACATGGAACTGACTCCACGGCACATAACAACAACATATATGACATGAATAAGGGTCGCTGTGTTGGGGGAGACCTTGTGTGGTGCTGTGGGTTAATGTGCTGGACTGCAAAGTCAGTTTGAACCACAGTGTGGGCAGTTCAAGCTTACCAGCCACTCCTTGGAAACCCTATACGGGGTCGCTATGGGTGGGAACTGACATGAAGGCACTTAACAGCAACAATTGTGCTGGAGTGCTAACCTAAAGGTTGATGGTTTGAATGCATACTGTGGTTCTGTAGCAGAAAGACATGGCAAAATTTAAAGCAAGAAAATGGTACAGAATTGTTTATTTTTGAGAGCAAATGGGGTCTCCCTGAGTCTGAATCAATTTGACAGTAATAGTTTGGGTTTGTACATGACAAGATATAGGATTTCTGGAATGAATAAACTATTGCTGCTTATAGGTTGCTTTTGCAGTGATATATATGGAGAGGGTAGTAGAGTAAACTGTCCCCTTATCTAGAAACTGAAAAATAGTAAAATAAAAGTCTGCATCACTGATAAGAAGATGTGTTTGTGATTGATTTTAGGGGTCTTGATGCTCTCAGCAAGAAAGTGAAGGCATCCACAGTGGATTTGCCTATAGAGTCTGTAAGTCTGAGTCTGCAGGATCTGATTGGCTACTTCCACCCACCAGATGAGCACTTAGAACACGAGGACAAGCAGAACAGACTACGAGCTCTGAAGAATCGCCAGAATCTCTTCCAGGAAGAGGTGAGTTTCCATCAGTGCCAATTCCTTTTCTGGTTTTCTCTGAGAATATAAATTTTTGAGGAAGATTCCTCTATTTAACACCTGGTGTGGTGCTGTAGGATAAGCACTGGACTGCTAACTGCAAGGTCGGATGTTTAAACCCACCAGCCACTCTTTGGAAACCCTATGCGGGGTTGCTATGAGTTGAACCCTACCCAATGGCATGAAACAGTAACAGTAATTTCACACCTTTGCATTTTGGCTTACACAGGAGCCAGTGTACAGGGAAAGCAAGGTTTGGATGAATCTGGAAATGGTTTTTTATTTGACTATCACAGATTACTAATTTTAAAAGATAAAACTTCTCCCTCTCTGGACAGACATTTAATGCTACTGTCTGCTTACCTCTCACACCGGTTGTTCCTAAACTCTTGTATTTCGCTTCGTGTTGGCTACAGAAATAGAGAATCTTAAAAGGGCTGAAGTAAGCACAGGCTTCAGAAAGCATCAGGGTTTTCCAATTGTTTATCATGTTCTATGGAGCTCTTTAGAAGATGCACAAGGTCCACCAGAGAGCTACGTGTTGGAGATGGAACTAGGAGAGACCATCCTTTAGGACAAAGCCAGTCTTCCTGCTTCCACAAACTTCCACTTTGCCCTTTGGCAAATAATACCTTTCGATGTATACTTTTATTTCACCAAAAGTTGGCTTCTCTGTTTTATGAACACAGTACCAGAAGGGCCAAGTGACTTTTCAAATGTCCTAACTACTGCTAGTGTCAGAAGCAGCCCAATGTCAATGTTTCAAGGGGGGAATGTCAGGACTAGTGGCATATCAAGCTAGCAGAGCAAGTGTTCATTCTTCTCAGGCCCCGTGTCTGTGAGTATGAGTATTCCTGAGTCAGAGTATCTTCGTGAAAGTAACTAACAAAAAATGTTTAGAGGGCGTGGCTAAGTTCCCACATTCCCTAGAATGATTTCCTTCTAGCTTTAAAACGAAAATGAATTGTCCTCAAGTTGATTCTGAGTTACGGTGACCCCGGCTGTACCAGAGTGCTCTATAAGGTTTTCATTGGGTAACATTGCAGAAGCAGATGTGCCCGCCTTTCTTTTCAGGTACTTCTGGGTGAACTCAAACCTCTGACCATTCAGGTAGCACCCAAACCTGTTAACCGTTTGCATAGCTCAGGGACTCATCTAACGTCTAAATTGTTTTCTAATTTACCATCAGAAGCCTTTGACTATGACATTAATTTCAGAGGATATTTTCACGACGAATACAAATAAATTACCTACCTAGAGACCATACTGGCATGAAACAAAGGAAACATTGCTATTAGCCAACAATAACCACAGGAAATTGTTTATTATTAGGGGCTTTTATTTTATTTTATTGAACTGTTTACTCCATTTTTTATTACCTGGAAAAAGTGAAAGTAAACATTGGACTGCTAAGATTTACAGAACTGATTTGGGTAAGACAATGGGAACCTAGAAAAGACATTAGGTTATGAGTGGGGAACCTTTTTTATTGCCAAAATTTATAGCATCATTCATGGGCCATACAAAATTATCAACTTAAAAATTAGCCTGCTGTATTAACTCACCCATGTGTGATGGCAGGACTTCTGGTGTGGCGCTGTAGAATCAGCACTGGATTGTGAACCACAAAGTCAACAGTTCAAACCCTAGGGTTTCTGAGGAGCAGCTGGTGGATTTGAACTGCTGACTGGTTTGAACAGGGTCACTATGAGTAGGAACCGACCTGACGGTACTTACTGACAATAACAAAAAATGTGGTGGCTGGAATGTGGTTGCCTTGACAGAGCCGGACCAAATGAAACTGCAAAGTCGTTTGAACTGCAAGGTTGGTGGTTGAAGCTCACAAGCTGCTCCTTAGAAACCCTATACAGGATCACTATGGGTCAGAATTGACTCATACATACGACCAAGGGCCAGGCATCCCCTACCTCTACGTTAAGTTCATGGTGCTTTTAAAATTCTTCGTGTGAAATGAGTTACTCTGGTGAGTTAACTCTTCATAGCTTTTTCTTTCATGTGAGTTACTTCCCTTGACAGCCTGGTTCTACCAATAATGATAAAGGCATCCATTCAAATTTCAACCTCATCTGTTGTTGTTGTTGTTATGTGCTGTGGAGTCAGTTCTGACTCATATCCACCTTGTACAGGGTTTCCGAGGCTGTAAATCTTTATGGGAGCAGAAAGCCTCTTCTTTCTCCTGTGGAACTGCTGGCAGTTTTGAACTGCTGACCTTGTGATTCGTAAACACTATACTACCAACTTCATCTGTAAGAGTGCTTTAATAAATACATTTTAAAATGTCTTCAGATATGCCTTTTCTTTATTTAGTTTAGAATATCTGCAGGTTACTGCTGTAGGATACTGTCTTCCCTAAGACTAAGGAGCTCTTTCTTCTGCTTCAGATGAGACAGCATTATGGTTGAGTCATGTCAGATAACCCTAAAACGTACAAATATAAGTATGGAGTAGGCATTTTCATATAGCTCCTGTGCAGTTGGTAATGGCTTTCAAGACTTAAACTGCACGCAAATTATTCAAAGAACATTTTCTTTGACAAGCATGTTTCTTTCTGTCTTTTGAATAATTGAATAACCTATTAATTTCCTTTATGATTAAAAGACTTATTTAAGGCCAAACCTCATTAAAAAAAAAAAGAAAAAAAATCCAATAGCGTTCCTGCCCTTACCCACCACCCCTCCCGGAGTGGAGTGACAGGTTTTGACGGTGAGTTTTCTCTCTCCTTGCAGGGCATGATCAACCTCGTTCTTGAGTGCATAGACCAGCTGCATATCTACAGTAGCGCCGCTCATTTTGCCGATGTTGCTGGGAGGGAAGCAGGAGAGTCCTGGAAATCGATTCTAAATTCTCTGTATGAGTTACTAGGTAAGATACATGATCGAGTTCTCAGGGCAACTGAGCGTTCACTACTTAAAGGGATCACATAATACTTACGTTTTATATGGGTAGTTTTATAATGGTGCTCATGGTGGTGTAACATGGAGCCGGTTCCGATTCACAGCGACCCTGTACAGGATTTCCGAGGCTGTAAATCTTTATGAGAGCAGAAAGCCTCATCTTTCACACATAGAAAGGCTGGTAGTTTCAAACTGCTGACCTTGAGGTTAGCAGCCCGACTTGTAACTACTATGCTACCAGAGTTAGTTAGTTTTATAATAGACGTCCAATTTGAGGCATTCAGTTTTTAACATTAGCTTGATCAAAAACAATCTATGGTCAGTTTTTGCTTTTTAACCCTTTTGTGACCCATGAAAATATATATCATCTTCTAACATTTTCAGCCTCTTAGGTTTCTCAAAAAGACCAGTTTTTGGAGAAAGACAGAATGTTTGGCAAAGTGGATGGTCAATGAAACAGGAAAACCCCCAATGAGATGGATTGACAAAGTGGCAGCCACAGTCTGCTCAAGCGTAACAATTGCTAGGATGGGGGCAGGACTGGGACTGTTCATAGGGTCATTATGAAATGTAACTAACTTGCAGACACCTAATAGGTTTCTTAAGGAGCTCTGGCAGCATAGTGGTTACAAATGGGACTGTAAACCTTAAGGTCAGCATTTCGAAACTACCAGCTCTTCCACAGGAGAAAGATGAGGCTTTTTGCTCCTATAAAGATTTACAGCCTCGGAAACCCCGTAAGGGTTGCTATGAGTTGGAACCCACTCCACATCACATTACCACCAACAACAGGTTTCTTGGGAAGCTGCATACCCAGCCTTTTGACTATATCTCTTTGACATTTTTTTTATCCCCACCTTCTGGATAAATACTTATATATCCTTCAAGACCAGTTCACCTGCCATTGGTTTTTGTAAATTATCCGTGATGTTTCTACCAATCCTTAAGCAGAATTAAAGCCTTCCTTCTTTGTGCTGTCTTAGCCATTAGTATTTACTTGTATTATTGCAGTAAGGACATTACTCACTTGGTTGTATAGGTGGCTATGATCTCAAGAGCAAGAATTGCACCTTTCTGATGTCTATATCTCTGGCACAAAGTGGGTATTTAATGAATGTTTACTAATTAAATGACCAAGTCCTTAAAAAATAGGAAATTATATCTGAACATAGTATTTTATGTGAAAAATGAAGAGTGGTCAAATATTTTTAAATACTCTATAATTAAAACTGTCTTTAAAATTTGTGAAGTCGGAATACAAGTAAGTAAAACTGTTGTCTACTTTGCTGCTGTTGTTTTTAGGTGCCATCGAATTGGTACTGACTCATAGTGACCCTATGCACTACAGAGTGACACACGCCTGGTCCTGCCCCAACCTCATAATAGTTACTAAGAATGAGTCCATGGATGCCACCACTGTGCCAATCCATCCCTTGGGGGTTTCCTCTTTCTCTGTGACCCTACACCTTACCAAAGGAGCTCTGGTAGTGTAGTGGTTACAAATCGGGCTGCGAACCTGACGGTCAGCAGTTCGAAGCTACCGGCTGTTCCGCAGGAGAAAGATGAGGCGTTCTGCTCCTGTAAAGATTTATAGCCTCGGAACCCTGTACAGGATCACTATGAGTTGGAACCGATTCCATGGCACATAACAACAACAACACGTTGCCAAATATGATATCCTTCTCCAGGAACTAAGAAGCTCTGGGAGCATTGTCATTACAAGTCGGGCTGTGAACCTCAAGGTCAGCAGTTCGAAACTACCAGCTGTTCCATGGGAGAAAGATGAGGCTTTCTGCTCCCATAAAGATTGACAGCCTCGGAAACCCTATGCGGGGTCACTGTGAGTTGGAATCAACTCCATAGCACACCACCACCACCTCTATCTCCACAGACTGTCCGTCCTGATGATATGTCCAAAGTATGAGAGATGAAGTAGGAGACACGAAGTCTTACCATCCGGGCTTTCTGGGTGCCTACTAGAATTTTTATTATGTTTTCCTTTTTTTGGGCCTATTTGATATACCATTAAACCTAAGCATACAGTTTGCTACTATCAATAAAATGTTTTATTTCAAAGGTAGGATCTGGCCAGCATTTCTTTGAACACAAGACTAGGAACACTGAGGCTTTGTCGGAATCTGGATTTATTACTTTACCCACCAGGATTTTAAAGACAATGTTTCTTTGCAGAATACCTAATAAGTAAGCACTGTTAGCTGTCGTTGAGTTGGCCCCCACTTAAGGTGACCCCATGCACAACAAAACAAAATGTTACTGCTACTTTGCCATTCCAGTGATGAATAGCATATCATACTGATGTGATTTCATTGGCTGATACTTTGGAAGTAGATCAGTAGGCCTTACTCCATAGTCCATCTTAGCTTGTGCAGCATTACAAGACGCAGGCCTTGCTGACAGGTGGAACATGGCTGTGTGTCAGGTGCATTTTTTGTAGTTGTTAAGTGCCGTCGAGTTGGTTCGACCCATAGCAACCCTCTATAGGGTTTCTGAGGAGCAGCTGGTGAGCTTGAACCACTAACCTTGCAGTTCAAACGGCTTTGCAGTCTGGTGCATTAACCCACAGCACCACACCAGGATGCCTGTGAGGTGCATTAGCTAGGCACAATTTCTCCCACTGGCCCCTGAATAGAAACTGAGGTATACTGGTGCTTTTAACATTGCATTGTGTTAAATACTTGACTTGTGACAGCCTGTGAATTCCTGTGACCGACTGAATGTATAGGTAAAGAAGAGGGACTTCATTAGTGTGTGCTTGAGTGTAGAAAATGTATGTGTGTGAAGACAAATTGATAGGCATCTTACTTGTATTTTCATAGCAACCATTTCCATAGTCTGTGAGTGGTTTCTTTAGCAGGTGTATTCTTTTTTCTTTTTTTTAATGTTTTATTGTAAATTATGTGATAGTTTACATGGGACAACATTAGCTTTACATTCATCCTATCGTATATCATTTCATTGCCATTGTTACAATCCCCTCCATGCATCATCAACCAACTAAAAGATATACCCTGAAAACCTGCCTCCCGGTCTTCAGCACTCAGCCCCCCTCTCTCTCTCAGTCTAGAGTCCCCAGCTGCTACATCTCTACACGTCATCATCTCTGCCTCCATCTCTGGCATCACTGTTTCTGTGGGTAGGGTCGAGCACTCCGCTCTTCTCCATTGATGGTCCCAGGGACCTCCGATCCTGGAATGCAAAGTCAACCACTCCCCTCCTTTTGCTACATAATGTCTACCTTTACGTTCCAACCCTCACAGTCAGTCCTGATAACAAATATTCACTATTGTACCACAAGAGACTTATCCACATCTCCTTTTATCAGCCCCGCCCAGACAGATTGGATACTACTCAGTAGGGATTCTACCTTCCTCCACGCCCTCTGGTTCTAGGCTCCCACTTGAAAGCTTGTGAGTCAGTCACTTCTTGTCTTTGTTGATGTTGTTGATAATTACCATGGAGTCAGTTCTGACTCATAGTGACCCTGCACAGGGTTTTCGAGGCTGTAAATCTTTACAGGAGCAGAACTCATCTTTCTCCCGCGGAACCGCTGGTAGTTTCGAACTGTTGACCTTGAGGTTGGCAGCCCGACTCATAACCACTACGCTACCAAAACTCTTGCCTATGTAGCCCCCCCATTTTGAGTAGCCAATGTCCAAGTTGCCCATCCCTGTCTACTCTGTTTATGAAGGGAGTGGGAATGACCCTCGCTATAAAGATTTGTTCCCTCTTTTAAGCTACTGCATCCATAGGTGTAGGTCAAATAAAATTGTATCAGATTACTCTTTTTTTCTTCTGCTTTCTTCTTCTAGTTGAGCTCTGATCATCCATCATTGAAGGCAGCTCAAGTAGGTATTAACTGTAAGTGTGGGTGTTCTTGTGCATATGCCCTCTCTTCTTGTCAGCTGGACACTTCACTCTCCACTCTAGTCCTCTATGGTTATGTCACTGCCTCTGGGCCCAAGAGTCCCCAGGTCTTGCTTCACTGCTGGACAACCAGGTCTCCACCCAGGTTCACAGGAGTTTATTGAATGTTGTAGGGCTTAGCTTGTAGCTTCATTGCTGTTTTTCCCTCACTTCTCCTTATAGATGACTAACGTGGACACCAATCAGAGCATGTGTTCCCATTGAGTCTTAGTCTTGGAAGGGGTTTTGCCCTGAGGGTATTGGACCATTTGCCTTGATGTCTCCTGGGCAAGCAACTTGATTGTTCTTGTAATAGTAGGACTACTATTGTTTTGTATTTTTCCTGTAGGTCTTTCTTTCAAGAAGTATCTTTTGTTCTTCTAGCTGCTCCAGGCTGATCTGCTTGCCTTTTCAAATGGAATTTCCACCTCAGAAGATTCTGGATGGGGTTAAGGAGTCCCCTTTTGGTCTTATATAATGCAGAGGCTCCTCAGGAAGCCTCCTTCCCTGGGCACCTTTGTAGCCCCATTTTAGGTATTCCAATCAGTTATAGGCAGAAGACAGACTTAACAGCTTTCTATGGTGATATTTCTGACACTCCTTTCTCTCCCCATCAAGTTTCTATTTTATAATGGTATGCCATAGAAACCAAGGTTGAAAAGACAGCCAAGCCTCTTAACATTATTCCCCCCTTTTGCCCATTCCAACCATGTTTCATTCACTGTATCCCAGAGCCCTGTTGTTCCATGGTTGTGCATACATCATTATTTACCTCTGTCCCACTTAGCTAATACGAACCTGCCTAATTGTTTTCCCATCCGCCCTGTTCTTCCATTCCCCTCCCCCTTCTGTGTATTGCCCCCCTTTCTAACACCGGAACTATCCAGTGTCTATTCCCTACCCTGTGCTCCACCTTTCCCTCCCTCCCCTCACCCCATCCCCACATCTCGGTAACTAGCAAAGAATCCCCATATCCCCCTTTAGTATGGATTCTTTTTCTTGGTCTTTTACAGTAGTGGTCCTATGTAGTATTTCTCCTTTTGT